CTCGGGATCCTCCAGGTGGAGGGTCAGCCCGCCAGGTAAGAAGGATATGGAGAAGCCAGAAAATAACCGGCATTGTTGATGTTTAAGATTTGCTACTTGGAACAAAAAGTTCCAAGTACCACGGGCTATGGTGAGCCCGTGAATAACCGGCAGCGAGAGGATGTCACACCGCCAAGTGTCTATAACACTCCTCTCACCACTTAGAACCTTGGGGTGATGTTACTGCTCCACAAGGTCGCCGTCGGCTGCCTTCAAGACACCCAGCCAGCCCAGGTATCACCCACGGAGCGAGAGTGAAGACACTGCGGTTGCCTGGCCGTCTCCGGAGGCCAAGGACCCATTGGCGACTATAGCGCCTGCGAAGGTTGCAGTAGGGGGTAATTAACCCACCACACAGAAGGAGTAATTAATCCAGCACCTAGAATCTGGGTGCTGGGTTAATTACTCCTATTTAATTACTCCTGGGGGTAAACAGCCCGTCATTCACCGCTCTTCCGGTGAAGGGCGCTAGACCAAGGCATCACAGTCCTCACTATACCAGAGTAGTGTGGACGACTACTCAGTCTGGACGACTGAGTTCTCACCACCTCGCCCACTGATGAGGAAGGCGATTACGAAGTCAAGGTTATTTAGTCATATCAGTAGGAAGCTCTAGGCTCATATCACTATACAGCACTTGGAAGCAATATGAGGGACAGGGAGCTGGGATATGAGAACAAGTACAAGAGCGATATGAGTACATAGAACAAGAAAAAGAAAACCGTAGTATAAGAACGATATGAGTACACAGAGCTCAGATATGAGGACAAGGAGGAGATATAGAACAGAGAGCTGGTATATGAGGACAAGGAGGAGATATAGGACAGAGAGCTGGTATATGTGGACAAGGAGGAGATAAAGGACAAAGAGCTGGTATATGAGGACAAGGAGGAGATATAGGACAAAGAGCTGGTATATAAGGACAAAGAGGAGATATAGGACAAAGAGCTGGTATATGAGGACAAGGAGATATAGGACAAAGAGCTGGTATATGAGGACAATGAGCTGGGATATGCGGGAGTGAAGGAAAGCTGCCTATCCATTTGGACTCTTAAGAGTTACTCAGAAGAGATATTCTCTTCATGTTGCTAATACGTAGTGAAGATCAGTCAACTTGTCACTCGTCGAAAGCTACGCGTATTATATGTGACTCTTTATGCGTTCTCTACAGGTTTATGTGTTCTTCCAGGCCCCTGGTAATGTATTTATGTGTACTTCCAGGCCCCTGGTAATGTATTTATGTGTTCTTCCAGGCCCCTGGTAATGTATTTATGTGTTCTTCCAGGCCCCTGGTAATGTATTTATGTGTTCTTCCAGGCCCCTGGTAATGTATTTATGTGTACTTCCAGGCCCCTGGTAATGTATTTATGTGTTCTTCCAGGCCCCTGTCAATGTATTTATGTGTACTTCCAGGCCCCTGGTAATGTATTTATGTGTTCTTCCAGGCCCCTGTCAATGTATTTATGTGTTCTTCCAGGCCCCTGGTAATGTATTTATGTGTTCTTCCAGGCCCCTGTCAATGTATTTATGTGTTCTTCCAGGACCCTGGTAATGTATTTATGTGTTCTTCCAGGACCCTGGTAATGTATTTATGTGTTCTTCCAGGACCCTGGTAATGTATTTATGTGTTCTTCCAGGCCCCTGTCAATGTATTTATGTGTTCTTCCAGGCCCCTGGTAATGTATTTATGTGTTCTTCCAGGCCCCTGTCAATGTATTTATGTGTTCTTCCAGGCCCCTGGTAATGTATTTATGTGTTCTTCCAGGCCCCTGTCAATGTATTTATGTGTTCTTCCAGGACCCTGGTAATGTATTTATGTGTTCTTCCAGGCCCCTGTCAATGTATTTATGTGTTCTTCCAGGACCCTGGTAATGTATTTATGTGTTCTTCCAGGACCCTGGTAATGTATTTATGTGTTCTTCCAGGACCCTGGTAATGTATTTATGTGTTCTTCCAGGACCCTGGTAATGTATTTATGTGTACTTCCAGACCTCTGTCAATGTATTTGTGTACTTCCAGGCCCCTGGTAATGTATTTATGTGTACTTCCAGACCTCTGTCAATGTATTTGTGTACTTCCAAGTCCCTGGTAATGTATTTATGTGTACTTCCAGACCTCTGTCAATGTATTTGTGTACTTCCAAGTCCCTGGTAATGTATTTATGTGTATTTCCAGACCTCTGTCAATGTATTTGTGTACTTCCAGGACCCTGTCAATGTATTTGTGTACTTCCAGGACCCTGTCAATGGAGTTTGTACCATGACTCATCCAATGAGTTTACCCTTCAAGTATCTTAAGGTTATCTTAAGTATACTCGTATACCTCCTCGTATACCTCGAGGTTTGCAACCTATCCCTGAGTTTACTACCTTGTGTCTACCACTAGCATTACGAAGTAGAGTCTCCCGCTGAATTTACTATTTCGAATCTACCTCTGGGTTTGCTACCTTGAATCTACGCTTTGGGAATTACCCTCCGCTTTGTCCCAGAGAGTCCTTACTCCTCCCACAATGAAAAGTAAAGTTGTCAACTAGTATGCAATAAGTTGTCAATTATCATGCAATACAGGTAAACTGACAGCCTGTTCCTCATTACACAAAATAATTAGAATGATATATAAACGACACAATGAAAGAGATTGTGGAAACTAAGAGTTTTGGGGTTCGATGCCAAATGCAGCCTTTCACCAGATGATAGTTTGCAACCAGCGGAACCAGGAGAGAGAACAACTTAGGTTTGCAAAAGTAAGTAAAGAGTAGATGGAAAGTAATTTGTTTGACAGTTGATGGCAATCATCGTGTGATAGACAGGTGTAACGAGGCAGTATACAGTATACATGTGTCTCTTGGGACACCCAAACACAGGTGAGGCAAAATTGATGAAGGAACACGTCATGGCTTAAAGGTACTGGCGGCGGGTGTAGCATTATTTTAGCGTCTCCTGTCACAGCTGTGAGTTGTTTTGTATTCTCACTAGCTCTTATCCTGTGGGAGAATGATGCTTCGTGGCCAGCATCCTGAAGGATACGTGCTCCAAGGCCAGTATCCTGCAGGATACGTGCTCCAAGGCCAGTATCCTGCAGGATACGTGCTCCAAGGCCAGTATCCTGCAGGATACGTGCTCCAAGGCCAGTATCCTGCAGGATACGTGCTCCAAGGCCAGTATCCTGCAGGATACGTGCTCCATGGCCAGTATCCTGCAGGATACGTGCTTCAAGGCCAGTATCCTGCAGGATACGTGCTCCAAGGCCAGTATCCTGCAGGATACGTGCTCCAAGGCCAGTATCCTGCAGGATACGTGCTCCAAGGCCAGTATCCTGCAGGATACGTGCTCCAAGGCCAGTATCCTGCAGGATACGTGCTCCAAGGCCAGTATCCTGCAGGATACGTGCTCCAAGGCCAGTATCCTGCAGGATACGTGCTCCAAGGCCAGTATCCTGCAGGATACGTGCTCCAAGGCCAGTATCCTGCAGGATACGTGCTCCAAGGCCAGTATCCTGCAGGATACGTGCTCCAAGACCAGTATCCTGCAGGATACGTGCTCCAAGGCCAGTATCCTGCAGGATACGTGCTCCAAGGCCAGTATCCTGCAGGATACGTGCTCCAAGGCCAGTATCCTGCAGGATACGTGCTCCAAGGCCAGTATCCTGCAGGATACGTGCTCCAAGGCCAGTATCCTGCAGGATACGTGCTCCAAGGCCAGTATCCTGCAGGATACGTGCTCCAAGGCCAGTATCTTGCAGGATACGTGCTCCAAGGGCCCAGCATCCTGCAGGATATGTGCTGTATCCTGTCGGCTGTGACTAAATAGTTGCAATAAGTACTATAATTTAAGGACAGGTACCTATCCTTATCCTGAATTTGATTTCAGGCAGATTTCGTAGTAAACGAAGCGAATTCTATACCCTAATTTGGGCCTCTAACTTAAATCTTACCAATACTTCCGTAGAGTAACAACGAGTGAATACACACACTCGCAGTCTTGACAAAAAAAAACACAAGTTCTGCGACGCAAAGACAGATAAATCAGATTTTCTACAGGATATAAATCAGATTTACTACAGCATATAAATCAGATTTACTACAACAAATAAATCAGATTTGCTACAACAAATAAATCAGATTTACTACAGCATATAAATCAGATTTACTACAACAAATAAATCAGATTTGCTACAACAAATAAATCAGATTTACTACAGCATATAAATCAGATTTACTACAGCATATAAATCAGATTTACTACAACAAATAAATCAGATTTACTACAGCATATAAATCAGATTTACTACAGCATATAAATCAGATTTACTACAGCATATAAATCAGATTTACTACAGCATATAAATCAGATTTACTACAACAAATAAATCATATTTGCTACAACACCCTCAAGCAGCAATAAAGTAGTCCCCCCCATAGCTTAAGTGCGCACTAACCTATAGTTGCCCTCTGCCGCTCGCGTTTTCTATGACGCGACCAGCATCAGTGTATGCGTAATGGGTTTAATACCAATTTATAAAATTTTACTAAATTATCAATGTTTTAATGTTTTCGTTTGTGGTCTAATCTTGCGTTCATGTTCATTATTCTGGCTCCTGTGTTTAATCCCTCACACAGGATTGAATCTGTGTTTAATTAATAATTATTTAATCATCATTTTATATTTCCTCTGATACTTGTTAATCTAAAAACGTTCCTTACTTTGGTTTGTCCTTATTATACATCTTTATTGTTCCCTCTGCTCTACCCCTGGGTATTCCCCAAAACACTTCCGCTTTCTCTTCTGAGTTCGCTACAAGTTCCTGGACTGATCATATGTAGCAGCCCCGCCGGCACTCTGCCAAGGCGAGCCATGGGGGCCCTTCCGGACTACGAGAGAGGGGGGGTGGAGGTGTAGGGGCCAGCCAACCAATCAGGAGGCGAGCGGGGAACCCTTTCTGACCAGAGAGGGAGAGACAGAGGCAAATAAAGGGAAGGAGGAGGAGTCAGCCAGCTAATGCGAAGACAAGCAAGGCCCTCTCCCTCCCTCTCCTTCTCCCCGATATATAAGGAGCCGCGTCTCCTCACACCAGCAGTTGTCTTGAAGACGTGATCGCATCTCCTTCATCATGAAAGTTGTAAGTAGTGCCTCTTTTAAGTCTCTACGAGCAATGGGCCTAAAGCCACTATATTTACACGTTGAAAATAATCTAAAATGATTAATATTGTGCAAATTTGCTAGGATCATGAGATCATATTATATATTATATTTATATATCACTAAGAACTCTAAATGACCCGACCAGGATTCGAACCTATGCTGCTCAGGATATCTAATTTATTATCATGAGTGTAATAAACTATAATTTATAACAAGTGCAATCGACTATGAGATATAGAGTATAATACAATCGAACAAATAATTTATTAATACAGTCAAAGAAGGGAAGGTGAAGGAAGGGGGAAAGTGAGTACAAAGGTTGATTGAAGAGGTAAGAACTGGCGGCCAGTGGACAATGCATGGACACCCTAGACGACAATGTATGGAGACCCTAGACGACAATGTATGGACACCCTAGACGACAATGTATGGGCACCCTAGACGACAATGTATGGACACCCTAGACGACAATGTATGAGCACCCTAGACGACAATGTATGGACACCCTAGACGACAATGTATGGACACCCTAGACGACAATGTATGGACACCCTTGACGACAATGTATGGACACCCTAGACGACAATGTATGGGCACCCTAGACGACAATGTATGGACACCCTAGACGACAATGTATGGGCACCCTAGACGACAATGTATGGACACCCTAGACGACAATGTATGGGCACCCTAGACGACAATGTATGGACACCCTAAACGACAATGTATGGGCACCCTAGACGACAATGTATGGACACCCTAGACGACAATGTATGGACACCCTAGACGACAATGTGTGGACACCCTAAACGACAATGTATGGGCACCATAGACGACAATGTATGGGCACCATAGACGACAATGTATGGGCACCATAGACGACAATGTATGGGCACCATAGACTTTGTAATCAGCAACTCACAGAATTAACCCGTCTTTCTCCTTATTTCAGCTGTCTCTGATGTTGGTGGTGGCCCTGGCCGCTCTGCTGGGGTCAACCCGAGCCATGCCTGACCCCGACGCCCTGGCTGACCCCAAACCCGCTGCTGACCCACAGTTTGGATTCGGTGGGTTCGGTGGTGGATTTGGCAGTCACGAACGCCGCAGATTCGGGGGCGGATTTGGTCGCGGATTTGGTGGCGGATTCGGTCGCGGATTTGGTGGCGGATTCGGTCGCGGATTTGGTGGCCGCAGATTTGGTAGTCACGAACGCTTTGGCCGCTTTGGTGGCGGCTTCTTTTAGATAATCCTGGTGTAATATACACACTAAGATGCCACAAAGCCCCAAGTGCAGCGCGGGGTCACAAACTGAAGGACCAATCAACCCATCTCAAGAAACTAGTTCAGAGCCGTCATCGTCTTCCTCCACTAACCAGCGCCTTCAACACATCAACCATCATCTCCAACTTCCTGGATCACCATCATCTTTAGCTTCCAGCATCACCATCAACCATCATCTTCAGCTTCCAGCATCACCATCAACCATCATCTTCAATCTCCTAAAACCCAGAGCTCATAACTTGTTCACCTCAGTACATTAATTATTGGAGAGTGGTCAGCTGATGGTCAATCAGCTGATGGTTCAGTCAGCTGATGATTCAGTCAGCTGATGGTTCAATCAGCTGATGGTTCAGTCAGCTGATTGTTCAGTCAGCTGGTGGTTCAGTCAGCTGATGGTTCAGTCAGCTGATGATTCAGTCAGCTGATTGTTCAGTCAGCTGGTGGTTCAGTCAGCTGGTGGTTCAGTCAGCTGGTGATTCAGTCAGCTGATGGTTCAATCAGCTGATGGTTCAGTCAGCTGATTGTTCAGACAGCTGGTGGTTCAGTCAGCTGATGATTCAGTCAGCTGATGGTTCAATCAGCTGATGGTTCAGTCAGCTGATTGTTCAGTCAGCTGGTGGTTCAATCAGCTGATGGTTCAGTCAACAAATGTGAGCAAAGCGTGTATTTAATAAACATATATATTACATGCAGTATTTTATATCCAATTTTAAAAGAGCAAATTACAGAAAACAAGATTTAAATGAAATGCTAAATAAAAAATTGATATAGGATTGCTTCAAGTAAACCATTTGTTCAAAGCTAAAAGATGAGACTAAACTGACATTAGAGATAAACGAAGTAAATGTCACTCCTTGGTAATGGGGTAAATTATTATCAATTCCTATCCTCTTCTTTCCTATTTAGTCTTATCCTATCGTATGATGTGTTATCCTATCCACTCCTATGTTATAATTTCCTATCCATTTCCATCTTGTTCAATCCTACACTATTATAATATCCTATCCAATCCTACCCGATCGTAAAATACCATATGCTATCAAATCCAATCCTTTGCTATATCCAATTTAAACCTATAATATCCTTTCCATGCCACTCCTACACTATACTATCCTCCAATATCCTATCCTACCTTATCCTATCCTAGTCTATCGCTCCCTTTTCTATACAAGTTTTTTTTTTATTATTATTTTCTACCACAGACGTGGCCACACATTTACAATGCTAACTAGCACATATACATTTTCTTCTGTCCTCCATGGACAGGGTGAGAGATTTGTCGAACATACAGTTCAGAGATTTATTAAAACAACCACAGAAGGTGATCGTAGTGCTTTTAAAATGTTAGGCAAAGCTACATACGTAAATACATAGATACATAGATTTATAAATGCATTAAATATATACATATATACAAGTGGTATGACAAGTAGTGTCATTAACAGTGGAGAGAATAGTAGGTATAAACAAGTACAAGCCGGGATATACGAAAGGTAGACTATAGGTCTTCCTACAGTTTAGTGCTATATTTTAAGTTGATATACTTTAGTGCTATATCTAGGCTTCTCAATTAACCCAAGTATGAAATATAATGACTGCTTCCCTCACTCTTGCTATGTCATTATGTGATAAGGGTCCAGGATGGATCCAAACGTCTTCACATAAGGGTCCAGGATGGATCCAAACGTCTTCACATAAGGGTCCAGGATGGATCCAAACGTCTTCACATAAGGGTCCAGGATGGATCCAAACGTCTTCACATAAGGGTCCAGGATGGATCCAAACGTCTTCACATAAGGGTCCAGGACGGACCCAATCGTCTTCACATAAGGGTCCAGGACGGACCCAATCGTCTTCACATAAGGGGGTCTAAGACGGATCCAAACGTCGTCCCATAAGGATCCGGGCTGGATAGAAACGTCCGTTTCCGGCCCGGACGTATAATGCTTATGAACATTATATACATATAAGCATTATAGACATAAACATCGTAGAAATATAAACATTATGCCTTATAAATATTAAACATTATACCTTAGAAATATGAAACATTATACTCTTACGAACATTAGAGGTCTACAAACAATGAAGACTTATAAGAATCATAAACAGGTATATAATATAAATATATAATTATAGACAGGGGAGCATACTCAGGCAGATCCGAGGTATACTTGTGGTGCATGATTATTCAAACACAGGTAATACCACAACATATGCGCTGAAAAAATTAACACATTGACTTGCAAAACACACACACACACACACACACACACACACACACACACACACACACACACACACACACACACACACACACACATACACACGTAAACAATCATTGTTTGGGAGCAACTAAGAAGTATGTAAGCTAACCCAGGTATGAAATAACAAGAGGGAGGCATTCATTTTATGTCACTACTCGATAAGGGTCCAGGACGGGGCCAAGACGGGTCCAGGACGGGGCCAAGACGGGTCCAGGACGGGGCCAAGACGGGTCCAGGACGGGTCCAGGACGGGTCCAAGACGGGTCCAGGACGGGTCCAAGACGGTTCCAGGACGGGTCCAGAACGGCTAGAAGACGGGTCCAAGACGGGTCCAGGACGGGTCCAAGACGGGTCCAGGACGGGTCCAGGATGGGTCCAAGACGGGTCCAGGACGGGTCCAAGACGGGTCCAGGACGGGTCCAAGACGGTTCCAAGACGGGTCCAGGACGGGTCCAAGACGGGTCCAGGACGGGTCCAGAACGGCTAGAAGACGGGTCCAAGACGGGTCCAGGACGGGTCCAAGACGGGTCCAAGACGGGTCCAGGACGGGTCCAGGACGGGTCCAGGATGGGTCCAAGACGGGTCCAGGACGGGGCCAAACGTCGAGCGAAATGTATTCGCTCACATCTACCAGGATTTTGTTGTTGTTTAAGATTCGCTACCTGGAACAAAAAGTTCCAAGTAGCACGGGCTATGGTGAGCCCGTAGTGGAGACGGACACACATCCAGACTACGGTGAACATTGGCTCACTTAACACAGCTACTTATATGGAACATTATCAACCTGTCCTCACACTTAAAGCAATGCATTTTCCCCCCCCCCTACGTTTTCATAGCGCTAAACACACAAATATTCCGATGATTTACTTGATTTTAAAGCAGTCGTAATAATGCAACCTGTTCCTTCGAATAATTCATCGCATGAGAAAATTAATTTGAGCAATACGAGGGATTCGAACCTGGGTACTCCCAGCAACGCCCCTTACCCCTGCACCACGATATGGCATAAGTTATTTGACACAATACAAATACATAGGTGCGCGACTGCGAATATCCAGGTCAAAGGTTCGAATCCTTGAAATTGCTATAATTGATTTCCTCATTCATATATCATGTGAATGCTATTTCCTTCTAAATACATCATATTTTGACGCAAAAAAAATACCCTACGTCAAAATATGATGTAGTATAAATCTTAAGAGCCTCGCTAAATTGACTTGGGTTGGTCTCGTTTTCTATCCGTGGGTTCTCGGTTAGGTTAGGTTGGGGTATTTTAGGATATCATTTCTGTGACGTGATAACTGGCAGAGGACGGGCTGGATGCTGACGCCTCCTCACAGTAATGATAATCAGACATGTCAACAATGTCCTTGAGTGTCCTGTAAGTGATTCATCCTACCTTCCTGTGCTGGCAGTTCCTGATTCGCGCTTCCCGAATCCGGATCTACGCCGAGTAGAGTGGATCTACGCATAGTAGTGCATCTATGGTGAGTAGAGTTCATCTACGGTGAGTAGAGTGCATCTACGCTGAGAAGAGTGGATCTACACTGAGTAGAGTGCATCTACGCTGAGAAGAGTGGATTTACACTGAGTAGAGTGCATCTACGCTGAGAAGAGTGGATCTACACTGAGTAGAGTGCATCTGCGATGAGTAGAATGCATCTACGACGAGTAGAGTACATCTATGCTGAGTAGAGTGCATCTACACTGAGTAGAGTGCATCTACGCTGAGTAGAGTGTATCTACGATGAGTAGAGTACATCTACGCTGAGTAGAGTGCATCTACGATGAGCTGAGCACATCTACGCCGAGCAGAACGGATCTACGACAATTTCACTGGGATATTTTCGAAGCCATACACAACACGTGTGAAAACTAAGAAATTACACCAAATTGCTTGCAAAATATCAATAAAATACTTAAGCATTAATATCCCATCAAAGAGTTGCTAGAAATGACACATCACAGTCATGGCGTTAATCAAGGTTTATGTTGAAACAGTCGCTCATCCGGCGAGTGATTTACAACCACTCCAGGTGAGTGGTTGTAACCAGATCTGACCTGAGGAGCACAGCGCCAGTGGGAGGAGTTTGGAGGTGGGTACAAACCATGTGCTCGCACTAACCTCTGACCCAGGTATATATATATACATATTTTTTTTTCCCCGTTCGTCTCGGCACTGTGACACTTAGTGACAGAGGCACTGTGACACTTGGTGACACAGACACTATGAAGCACAAATCCTCGATACCGCTCTATCCCATCATGACACCTCCCCCCCCCCCTCACCATTCTCCCCCCAGATGAAACATCCTACAAACGTAATACAAACATCAAGCAATACAAAAGCGAAGTGAATTTAACGTCAAAACCTAATTTTTTTTTTATGGACGTGCAGTGACTTAAGAACTGAAAAGTTCACGTACTTTAAGGTGATTTATTAAATTATTGGTGCCACTTCAATACTTCATCTCCACCAACTTCCAGCATCTCTTCCAACCATCTTCTTAAACGCCGACCATCTTCAGGATTCATTTCCTTCATCTTCCTTTACTTCCATCATTTAACACTTAATTTAAGTTTCCAGGGCTCATGAAAGAACCATATTCACACAGTCTATTGATATTTCTATTTGATTGTCAGTAGAATTTTCTCGTGGATTGATTAATGGATAGAGTCCAACTAATTGTTCAATACTCATCCAATACGACATTAAGTGATAGACAAGCAGATATATATAGAGAATAAAACATGCAAATATTGTCTTTGCTCTGTATTTTCTAGCCTATATGAATATATAATTTTGCATTGTTTTTCAATAACGTCGCCTCCATATCAAAGTTAATAATGAATAATCAAAATAAAAGTCTCAAAAGACTCAACAACAATCAAATAACCAGTGAGGACAACTTCTTATCATTAACATCAACTTTAACAAACAATAAATCAATGTAACTAAACACTTTGCTCTCAATTAACTAAGTCCCAACTGGACTGGCAAATGGCAAAGTCAAAATCTCCTTTCAAAAGTTAAAAGTTCGAAATGACTTGGAAAAATTACCCATCCCCCTACAAAGGAAAATAAATGTTGACCAGACCACACACTAGAAAGTGAAGGGACGACGACGTTTCGGTCCGTCCTGGACCATTCTCAAGTCGATTGTGATGATTGAAGGAGGAGAAAATATATAACACGTCACTTAAGCACGAGATTTACAAGTCAAAATATATATAGAGATACACAGATAACTTTAAGGATAATCCTCCATAAAGCATCAAGTCTTACCTTACCAGCCAATATAAAAACATTCCTACTTGCTCAACAGAGCACCAAACTTCCCACCTATAGCTACCAAAAGACTCATATCAAAACACTGAAATATTAACTATAAAACACAGTAAATCTATACTCCTGCAAGTGTATATAGCACTATACAAGGTGTATAGGTAAATGGTGTCACATGTACAATTAGTCAATATAGTTATGTCAAGCAAGCCAGGGGGGCTTGCATGGCATAACTTGCATGATAATAATAGTTATGTCAAGCAAGCCTCATGCAAGATAAGGGAAGCCCGTGACCCCGTTGTTGGGTGTAAATGAGGGACATGTAGAGGCAGAGGAGAGATAGCGAGGGACATCTAGAGAGGAGAGAGGGACACTGAGGGAGGGAGGGAGGTCATCCCAACTCACCAGGAGCCACGTGAAGGCGGCTGGACGTGGTGCTGTGGCCGAGCAACGCAGTGGGTCAAGGTCCCCAAGTGCGACGTATTGTGCCGGCCGCGGGGAAGGACCTGGAGACAGGTGCCTCGACGCGCCTCACCCGTCCTCCTCAACACCACCATACTATAAATCACCTCCCACGAACCTCGGCCTACAACCGTTCTCTAAATACCAGTTACATACACGTATAACATAAACACAAGTGATTGTTGACACCTCGCCATGATAATGAGAGCAAGAAGCACACACAATTGGGTGAGACACAATAGACTTGATAATGGTCCAGGACGGACCGAAACGTCGTCGTCTCAAAAATATCCTTGGCTCTGTGGCTAGACGAGACCTACACCTAGAAGATGGAAACCAGTCTTATCTTCCAATCTTTGTCCAGAAGAGAGGCTTCACCAGCAACCCTCAGCTTATCCCTTACCCTTCACTCCCCTGCTCCCTCTCCCTCTCACCCCTGCTCTCTCCCTCTCACCCCTGCTCTCTCCCTCTCACCCCTGCTCTCTCCCTCTCACCCCTGCTCTCTCCCTCTCACCCCTGCTCTCTCCCTCTCACCCCTGCTCTCTCCCTCTCACCCCTGCTCTCTCCCTCTCACCCCTGCTCTCCCCCTCTCACCCCTGCTCTCTCCCTCTCACCCCTGCTCTCTCCCTCTCACCCCTGCTCTCTCCCTCTCACCCTTGCTCTCTCCCTCTCACCCCTGCTCTCCCCCTCTCACCCCTGCTCTCTCTCCCTCTCACCCCTGCTCTCCCCCTTTAACCCCTGCTCTCTCCCTCTCACCCCTGCTCTCTCTCCCTCTCACCCCTGCTCTCTCTCCCTCTTACCCCTGCTATCTCCCTCTCACCCCTACTCTCTCTCCCTCTCACCCCTGCTCTCTCTCCCTCTCACCCCTGCTCTCTCCCCCTCTCACCCCTGCTCTCTCCCTCTCACCCCTGCTCTCTCTCCCTCTCACCCCTGCTCTCTCCCCCTCTCACCCCTGCTCTCTCCCTCTCACCCCTGCTCTCTCCCTCTCACTACTGCTCTCTCTCCCTCTCACTCCTGCTCTCTCTCCCTCTCACTCCTGCTCTCTCTCCCTCTCACCCCTGCTCTCTCTCCCTCTCACCCCTGTTCTCCCTCCCTCGTATCACAAGCCATCTTACACCAGCAGCCCCAGATGTCTACACGTAAACAATAGTTTAACAATAATGGCAATACAAGTTCAACCCAATATAAAAATCACTAAAGCTTCAAATACACTAGTACCATCCACAGTGATGTTAGTATTTAAAAGCTCAGGGTTTAAATATTCAATTAAAAAATCACAATTAGAAGCACAATACAAAGCCAAATATATCAAAAGTGGTCGAGTGATTTTAATGCATACAAGTTATTATAAATTTCACTTATTGTATTAGAAAATAAATTAAAACTATATTCGAAAAAATAATGTACAGCTTCTTTTAAACACGTATTCCGCTAGGTAAACTAAGAGCCCTGTAAACCATCTGTTACGTAAGCCACCTGTACTGTAAACCAGTTGTGCTATACGCCAGGTGTATAGCACAGTTGGCTGCAAGTCATGTAACCTTACTGTAAGACAGTTGTACAGTAAAGCAGCTGTACTGTAAACTAGCTGTATTGTAAACTATCTGTACTGTAAACTAGCTGTACAGTAAGTTATCAGTGCTGTATATCAGTTGTACTATAAACTAGAGGTATCTTTCCACCAACCGTACTGTAACCCAGCTCTACTGTATAGTTGGTTTGTTATATAGTAAACTAGTTGCACTGTAAACCAGCTTAATGTAAGTTAGCAGAATTGTAAACCAGCTTACTATAAGTTAGCAGAATTGTAAACCAGCTTACTGTAAGTTAGCAGAATTGTAAACCAGCTTACTGTAAGTAGCAGTGCTGTAAACCAGAGGTACTGTAAGTTAGCGATACTGTAAACCAGAGGTACTGTAAGTTAGCGATACTGTAAACCAGATGTACTGTAAACCAGCTGTACTGCAAACCAGCTGTACTGTAAACCATTTCTACTGTAGACTAGATATATTGTTAACCAGCTGCTCTATAAACCAATTGGACTGTAAACTAGGTCCTGCAATTGGGTAATTTGTTAACTTATATAAATAACACTGGAAACTGTTTGATTTGATTCTTAAAACTCCACCACTTGCTTTATAACTAAACAAAGACCTTTTCCTCCCACATGTCGACTTGAAATATGAGTGGGGAGGGGGATACGAACCCGTACGAAAGTGCTGTTACCTCTCGTCAATAGACCTGGTTCAAAGTCGCATGTAGTGGAATTCTTGTGCAGACAATCGACTTGAAAATGATCCAGGACGGACCGAAACGTCGTCGTCCATTCACTTTCTAGTATGTGGTTTGGTCAAGAAGTGAAACTCTTTACCACCTAAGTATATAATACACGAGTTTCGGCCTCGGTGTTTGCTCAGACTCCTGACTGGTTGTAATTAGTGCCGCTGTATTTGACGGGTGTAGGAGCACGTTACGTGGCTGTAACATCACAAGCATTTCAGTGATTAAGTCACCTGTGATGACCTTCACTAATCTGTTAGTCTAATTATCTAATTATCGTGTGTGTTTGGTCTCTCTGTTCTGGCCCGCTTATGGCGTTCCCTTTGTTCACTCTACTTACACTTTCGAGGCTACAAACCCCTTCCGTATACCGCCCTACGCAACAATTTCCGGCTGTGATGGCCGCTCGACCCGCCAGACCATTGTCAAGGTGAGCGAGAAGTTCTTCCGTAGGAGAGAGTGGGAGGGGCCAGGAGACGAGCCAGTCTCTTCCGTCTGTATATAAAGATTTGCTCCTCCTCCTCGCGACACCAGTCAACAAGACGCTGTCTTCTTGAAAATCCTTCCGTCAGCATGAAAGGTGTAAGTACTGCCTCTTAGCAGTGTCGTCCAGGCCTGAGCAAGTGGATACAATCTGGAGATGATGAGGTTCAGTTGCTGATTTATAAAAAAGATTACCGGGTAACAGAATAGACATCGCGGGATTGTTTCAAGCGTAGGTTAGACATATACAAAAATGCGTTTGGGTGGGTATGGATAGGAGCTGCCTTGCATGGGCCAGTTTCCCTCTGCAGTTTCATTTATCTTTATGTCATTACAACCCTTAAGGCATATCTGCCATTTAAGCTCGTAAATAATTTAATAAATGACGAGTGTCAGTAAACGACGGTGCCGAGGCACAGGTCATCCTTAACCTGAACAGGAAAACATCGCAAAGGTTAGTTTAAATCAGAATTCTGATGGTTTAAAACAGGTTCACGTGAGCCACGAGCCTCTTTCAAGGTATCGATTTGCGAAATATGAGACCAATGTTTTTTGCTTTTCTTTCAATTTAGCACTTTAGATTATCTTGGGAGATAATTTTTAAGGATATTATAAGCCTCTGAAGAGGGTGATCAAAGCAGAACAAAGAGCATCGGAGTGTAGGTTATCTTGAGACGATTTCGGGGCTTAGTGTCCCCGTGGCCCGGTCCTCGATCAGGCCTCTACCCCCAGGAAGCAGCCCGTAGCAGCCCTCTAACTCCCAGCTACCTATTTACTGCTAGGTAATAGGGGCATTAGGGTGAAAGAAACATTTTGCCCATTTGTCTCCGCTTCCACCAGGGATCCGGAACCTCAGGACTACGAATCCGAAACGCTGTCCACCCAGCTATCAGACCTCTAAGGGGGAGGAGAATGAAAAGAAGCACAAGATCATTATTTCATTCATGTAACTCATCATCTTCGTTTCTCTCACCATATCAGCTGAGTGTGGTGATGGTGGTGGTGACCCTGGCCGCCCTGATGGGGTCCACGCTAGCTATGCCCGAAGCCTACGCCCTGGCCGACCCTCAACCCGCTGCTGACCCGCAGTTTGGATTCGGTGGATTTGGCAGTCGCGAATTCTTTGGTCGCGGCTTTGGTCGACGCAGATTCGGTCGACGCGGATTTGGCCGTCGTGGTTTCGGCCGCCGATTCGGCAGTCACGAATTTGGATTCGGCAACTTCTTCTTTTAATGAATAATACTGTGTCTGTCTTTCTCCAACTCTCTCCTAAGTGTAGCGTCTTGCACGGAAAATCCATAGTGGCAAATTCTTAAACTGCAGAACATTATTTTTAAAACTCAATGACTTTGCAGACCAAAAAAGAACTATTCTCTAGACAGAATTCGACTAAACAACACTATGGGACAGTCAAAACACGCATATATATCGTTCTCGCCCTCATCCATCTCTACTATCCATCAACGTCTCCGTCAATCATCCATCACTTTCATCCATCAGCTTTGAACCTTCAGCACATCTTCTCTAATGCTTAAGTCAGCACCTGCATCCTTCAAGATGATTTATTTATGAGGCTTCTATCTCGTGCTTATCAGATATCTTACATAAACTGACAGTTAAGTTATTAACAAATAACCTTGTATATGTAAAATAAACAGATTGCCATATATATACTGTATTTTATGTCCTACTGAGGGGAGGGAATTATCCGGGGAAAGCGCCAAGCCATTACGACTATATAGCACTTGGAAGGGGTCAGGATAAGGATATGGGATGGGACGGGGGGAATGAATGGTGCCCAACCATTTGGACGGTCGGGGATTGAACGGCGACCTGCATGAAGCGAGACCGTCGCTCTACCGTCCAGCCCAAGTGGTTGGACGGTAGGGCAATATTTCAATAGGACACAATCACGCGCGCGCGCGCACACACACACACACACACACACACCTAGAGGCTTGGTAGCTGAGTGGACAGCGCTTGGGCCTCGCAATCCTATGGCCCGGGGATCGATCCCCGGCGATAGCGGAAACAAATGGGTAGTTTCTTTCACCCTGATGATCCTATTACCTAGCATTAAATAGGTACCTGGGAGTTAGACAGCTGTTACGGGCTGCTTCCTGGGTGTGTGTGAAAAAAATGTTGATTGATTGACAGTTGAGAGGCGGGCCGATAGAGCCAGAGCTCAACCCCCGCAAGCACAACTAGGCGAATAAGAGCAACACCCACCCACGTGGGTGTGTAGTCACATTTAACCTATTCACTGTGACATTCCACTTAGGTCGAGTGAATAAAACTAATCATTACATACAGAATGTATGTAATGCCTGTCTATACTTCCTCATCACAATCGACTTGAGAATGGTCCAGGACGGACCGAAACGTCGTCGTCCCTTCACCTTCTAGTGTGTGGTCTGGTCAACAATTATACGCGACATTTCTCTAGATGCCTAAACAAAATTATTTCCATATAAACAAGTTCAAGTTCTTATCAGTTTATTGAGATCATTAAATCCCTACAGGATAGATCAGCTTAGGCTAATTGTACCCTCAATGAGGCTCACACATCTATCCAGTGCACAAATTATAAGTTAGTTTACATACCAATTACATTTACATTAATTTATATGGTCGATCAGACGCCCGAAGACTATAACTAATGTCACCCGCACCTGGGAAGTGCTGCCATCTGTTGGCGAGAGATTCAAAAGGTCAACCCAGGTGGTGACGCTTCCCTATTCAAGAATGCTTTGACCCCCCTGTTCATTCACCTCTTTAACGAAGGCCTATTTATACCATATCAAAATAATTGTGTTATAACTACAGTTAATAACTGAGTTTTCAATATTGTGTTATTTGAACGTTTTGTAGCGCAGTTGCCTACGGCCTTGCCTCACAACCCAAGAACCTGGGGCCAGATTCACGAAGCAGTTACACAAGTACTTACGAACGTGTACATCTTTTCTCAATCTTTAACGGCTTTAGTTACATTTATTAAAAAGTTTACAAGCATGAAAACTTGCCAATCAACTGTTGTTATTGTTATAAACAGCCTCCTGGTGCTTCGGAGCTCATTAACTGTTTAATAATTGTAAACAAAGCCGCCAAAGATTGAGAAAAGATGGACAGGTTCGTAAGTGCTTGCATTACATTTCTCTGCTTATCCAGTTTTATCCAACTTTCCTTCACTCTCTCTTTCTCTCTCCGTGTCCTCAAAACCTTTCTACGTCTCCTCCCACGCTGGAAGATAATGATTTCTTAAGACCTCTGCCAAGGCGACCTGGAGATATCCAGGAGAAAGTGGGGAATCCAGGAGTCTGACGAGTTTCTCTAGCAGCCAGAACGAGCATCATTAGTCGTTATGTCGATGGCCTCGCCTCTTGCGGGTCGACGTTCGATCCCCGATGTTACGAGTGGTTGCCGGGCCTCATTCCTTCACTCCTTCCATGAACCCAATTGTTGTAAATATGAATACAGTATACTATAGAAGACCTGTACTGGCCCAAGGGGAGGCAGCTCCTATTTTTATCCACCCAAACTCATTCATCCATATGTCTAACCTACGCTTGAAACAAGCCAGTGATCCCACGTCAGTTATGGTACCCGGTAATTGGTTCCATATATCATCAACCCTATTACTACATCTGTATTTACTGCAGTTTGGTAAAGGATACATATGATATCCTTGAGGCTATCTTACTGCAGTTTGGTAAAGGATCCCATCCATATGATATCCTTGAGGCTATCTTACTGCAGTTTGGTAAAGGATCCATATGATAGCCTTGAGGCTATCTTAGTGTCAGAACTTCCCGGTACAGGATTCGAGGTTATATCAATTACTCGTTAATTATATTTAAATAGGAATGGTGCTTTTTTATATTGAGTTTAATGGTATTTGTACACTTTTGTGCTACTTTACAGCTGACATTGTATTGGGAGTTTTTTGTATGATGACAGGATGAAAGTTTATGGAGAAGGGGAGTATCCTACAAAAGATACTTAATCAACCAGGCTCTGAATCATTCGTCAGGCTGCGAGCACCCGCATCAAACAGCCTGGTTGACCAGATCACCAACCAGGAGGGCTGGTCAGAGACAGGGCCGCGAGGACAATGATCCCTGGAACCATCGACAGGACAGGTCACAGTGATGGAAAGAGAGATTAAACAGGATGGAGGATGGATTAAATTAAATTAAATTAAATTAAGAGATTAAAGAGGATCTTCTATCTTGAGGTTATCTTGAGATGATTTCGGGGCTTTAGTGTCCCCGCGGCCCGGTCCTCGACCAGGCCTCCACCCCCAGGAAGCAGCCCGTGACAGCTGACTAACTCCCAGGTACCTATTTACTGCTAGGTAACAGGGGCATTTAGGGTGAAAGAACTTTGCCCATTTGTTTCTGCCTCGTGCGGGAATCGAACCCGCGCCACAGAATTACGAGTCCTGCGCGCTATCCACCAGGCTACGAGGCCCCCATATGGATTAAATTAAATTAAATTAAGAGATTAAAGAAGATGGAGGGAGATTACAAAAATTTAGAAAACCAGAAGAAACTATTCGAAGGATTCGAACCCTGACACTTGGTACTCCCCAGCCAGCAATCCATCCTCACGGCCCCTATACTGATTCCCTCACTGATGCACCCCGTTAATATGACTCCATCTCCATCAAACACTTTACAAACACCGAACCACCACAAGATGGTTCACAACAACAACACCCAACGCTTCGAAGCCCATAAACTGTCTAATAAAAAAAACAACACAACCCGCCATGATTCTTGAAAGATGTAGCGGTTTCGTTTCCTTCCTGTTTCGGATGCGTCAATGCTTTGGTGAATCTTGGACCCATCTTTAGATATGCACAGATAACCTGTAGCCCTCAAAGAAAGATCTTAACTATTACATTTCTATTTACCAAAGAAATAGAACAATGTTTCAAACAATTATTTTTTTGTGTTGTATATCGCTTTCAATTTTCTATTTCTTTATTCTTCTGATTCTCGGGAGGAATTTTATGGGAATTATGTTGTCCGTAATCCAGGCATTTATTAATATACTGAGGAAGACAAAGGTCATCCAGGCATTTATTAATATACTGAGGAAGACAAGGTCATCCAGGCATTTATTAATATACTGAGGAAGACAAGGTATTCCAGGCATATATTAATGTACTGAGGAAGACAAGGTAATCCAGGCATTTATTAATGTACTGAGGAAGACAAGGTAATCCAGGCATTTATTAATGTACTGAGGAAGACAAGGTAATCCAGGCATTTATTAATATACTGAGGAAGACAAGGTCATCCAGGCATTTATTACTATACTGAGGAAGACAAGGTCATCCAGGCATTTATTAATGTACTGAGGAAGACAAGGTCATCCAGGCATTTATTACTATACTGAGGAAGACAAGGTCATCCAGGCATTTATTAATGTACTGAGGAAGACAAGGTCATCCAGGCATTTATTAATATACTGAGGAAGACAAGGTCATCCAGGCATTTATTAATATACTGAGGAAGACAAGGTAATCCAGGCATATATTAATGTACTGAGGAAGACAAGGTAATCCAGGCATTTATTAATGTACTGAGGAAGACAAGGTAATCCAGGCATTTATTAATGTACTGAGGAAGACAAGGTAATCCAGGCATTTATTAATGTACTGAGGAAGACAAGGTAATCCAGGCATTTATTAATATACTGAGGAAGACAAGGTAATCCAGGCATTTATTAATGTACTGAGGAAGACAAGGTCATCCAGGCATTTATTAATATACTGAGGAAGACAAGGTCATCCTGGCATTTATTAATATACTGAGGAAGACAAGGTCATCCTGGCATTTATTAATATACTGAGGAAGACAAGGTCATCCTGGCATTTATTAATATACTGAAGGAGACTTAAGATAATCCAAACCTTTATTAATATGCCCCAGGAAGACTAGGGGCAATGCAGGCACTTATTAATACCCTGCGGACGACATAAGGACCTTGAGGAGCATATCTGTATGACTCAAGGGTCGTGTGCTTACCCCGAGTGACGTCTCTGGTGGGGTGGAGCCCGTCTCTGGTTCCCAGATACCCGGGTTCGTCAGGTATCTGAGAGGTCCCCGCATCCTGGTGCTCGGTGGGGAGGGTCTTATCTGCATCTCTTATTGCTACAGTTTATGGGTCTCAACGATCAACCCGTTCTCGCACTTGCTTATAGTAAATATTGGCTTATTTAATAAGTGCATATGTGACATACTAATTAATTGTGAATATTTTAGTTTACCTTGAAAAGCTTCATAGAAAACACCAACCTCACCTAACCCTCTTAGTATGTTAAGATAAGCATCTTATTGCTTCTTAATTACAATTATTACTTAACCTATACCGTTGATAGGTTAAGTAATAATTGCAAATAAGAAGCAATAAGATGCTTATCTTAACATACTAAGAAGGTTAGGTGAGGTCGGTGTTTTCTATGAAGCTTTTCTAGGTAAACTAAAATATTCACAATCAATTAGTATGTCACATATGCACTTATTAAATAAGCCAATATTGACAATAAGCAAGTGCGAGAACGGGTTGCAACGATGGGTGGTAGGATTTTCTATGCAAGCTGCTGTATCCTAAACATATTCGGGGCCACCATCTTTGTCGCAACTCTCCTGAATCCACCACCCCCCCCCCCCTCCCCTTGTCCCATTTCAAATCCTTATCCTGACCCCCTTCCAAGTGCTATATAGTTGAATTGGCTTGGCGCTTTCCCCTGTGATAGTTCCCTTTTTTGCACCGCTAATAACTGTAGCGCAGCTCTACTATACCAGGATCAACTGTGTCTACCCATGTGCATGGGAAATTGGCTTACAGGTTCCGGAAGATGAGAGGAAATGTCAGCACTGTGGAGAAATGCCCGACAGACCACTGGAACATTATCTAACACAGTGCACAGTTACTAACCCATTAAGATTTCAACTTAGATTCAACAGGGTATAAGAAGTTGTTAAATACGTGGGACAGACTGAAATAAATCTATATATTTCATATGGCATATATATGACGTGACATATAACAAACCAAGACAGGTTATCCCTTTGAGACCTGAGATATCATGATTGACATATCATGATATCGTACTGAAAATCTACCACTGAATTATCTCATTTTAGACATAAAATGAAAAGCTAAGAAGGTTGATTATTTTCAAAAAGATGCGTAATACTCACCCTTACCAGAGGCTCTAATACGAGGTCAAGTACCAACCTGAGCAGATTGGTCATTTATTTGCAATAAAATGCTTACCACTGACCCATACAAGAGTTCAATCTGAAGAACCAAGCAGGAGTTATTAGCAGTTTTAAGATGGACAGCAAATAACAAGTGAAATAGGATACAGAGGACAACAGACGTATTATAAACGAGGCAATAGTCAAGTGAAGACCTGCGAGGGATCTAAGCTGTACCCAATGCTGTCATTAGTGTATATAAATAAATAAGGACTAGATTCCTTTATGTGTTGCAATGTTGATGGGAAAATTCTAGACGAGGGAGGACTATTGCAGGAAGCTGCAGAATGATTTACGCGGCTAGCAGGTAAAGTCGGACAAATGGTTGCTAGACTTCAACTAAAATAAATGCAAGGCCATGACAATAGAGCACAGGAATTTGGAAGAAAGTGGAACAATACACAGTCAAGTTGAATTCCCAACTAGTGACAATAAGAAAGACTCGGCAGTAGACATAACAAATCTATCGACTAAAAACCCAACACATTCAGTAACATCAGCAGCAGATAAGCTGAAGTGAGGAGACCCCAACACAGTAGAGAATGAAGGCCAGACAGCTTCCCATATCCGCCCAAATAGAGCCCCTTGGGAGTAGTCACAACACCAGAGGCACACATCACCAGGCCAACACCATCCACCATCCACCAAAAACTACAATATCCGAATGGCCTTCACTCACAAGTCGAGCCTGGCCTCGGCCCGGGCTTGGGGAGTAGAAGAACTCCCAGAACCCCATCAACCAGGTATCAACCAGGTTCAGGAACTAGGACAAAAGAGTCCCTGTGTTTATCTCTCACTATTCTGCCCCCAAGTTTACTCTCACTATTCTGCCCCCAAGTTTACTCTCACTATTCTACCACCAAGTTTACTCTCACTATTCTACCCCTATATTTACTCCCGTTACTCAACCTCAGTTGAGTAACGGGAGTAAATATTACTGTGTCCATGAGCATACTACTATGCCTCTGAGCATACTACTGTGTCTGTGAGCGTACTCTACTCTACCCCCATTACTCTACCACAAAATAGTCGTCATTGAGAGAGAGCCCCGAGTGTGACTCTGGACTGAAACGTTTCCGAAGCCCTACACGTGGGACTCAACTGCGTCATGAACGATTACGTATTGGAAGCGACGGCCGGAGGGAGGGAGAGGGGTGGGATGAGGCTGAACGCTTACGTTATAACGGAACAAAGAACATGGATGATTACCCAATGAGCAACCGTCTTAGCAGATTGTACTGGAGAAGGGGGTCCACATTATTCGTTCGTTGGAGGAGTCAGGTGGGTTACCGAGGAGGGGGGGGAGGGTGTCTCAGACAGTGGTATATAAAGACCTGCGGGTTGTTAAGACGTCAGTCTCTGTGTAGTCTGTGTAGCTGTGAAATCCCCCTCTCTCTATCTCTCTTGCCATGAAGGGTGTAAGTATTACCTCCTTAAGATTCAAGACTTCATGGTTTTCCCCTAGATTAGATTACGAGGTTGGCAAAAGAGCTTCACATCCCATGACACATTGAAATATCACCTAATGCGCCTGTTCACCTAACAGCAAATAGGTAACGAGGAGTTAGGTTGTTGAGGGGGCTACATTCATGCGGGGAACGTCGACATAAGCCTAACATGTATATATACACTGGCTGCCTGTCCCCCGACGCAGTGAATTATGTAGAAATAATTTAGTAGGAGTTATGTGATCCATACAGTCGACTCTGAACCGAGAAGAGACCCGGGTACAATCCCCAAAGACAAAAGCGTTTGGGCAACATGTCCTTTCACCTACTACCGCTATTCAACAAACCGTAAATAGCTATCTGAGAGTTAGGCAATTGTCAAGAGGTTCCCATCCTGGGGAAGACGAGTAGTTGACCTAAAGGTTATGTTGAGGTTATCTTGAGATGATTTCGGGGCTTTAGTGTCCCCGCGGCCCGGTCCTCGACCAGGCCTCCACCCCCAGGAAGCAGCCCGTGACAGCTGACTAACACCCAGGTATCTAGAGTCCTTGGGATTAATACTCGGTACTGCATTGCACTTTAAGAACCTCTAATGTGTTAAACTCTGTCCTCTTATCATTTACATGCAAGTTTACCTGACAATACCATCGTAGGGCTTGTGATAAATGATTGTATTTGTCGCAGGCAACGTTGCTCCTAATTTTATCTCGATCTATTTTGCAGTACGAATCAACAGGTGAGAACGTGGTTGTAGGGGTCAATATATTCTCATTACATTTTAACATATTTTCTACTTTATTTCAGGTGTTGGTGATAGTTGTGGCTGTGCTGGCCCTGGCCACCCTGCTGGGACCAGCCCAAGCTCTGCCCAAACCCATCGCCCTGGCGGACCCTCAACCCGAAGCCGACCCCAATGCATCTGGCAGCCATGAATATGGTGGATGGCGCGGCGGATACGGTGGCTACAGGGGCGGTTGGGGCGGTTATCCATATGGAGGCGGATGGGGAGGTGGATTTGGCGGCGGTTCCGGTAGCCACGAATATGGCTGGAGAGGTGGTTTTGGCAATGGCTTTGGCCTTTTCGGATAGTCGTGATGTGTATGTGTTTGTGGCTTTTTCAGCCCTGCAGACCTTTTACCAAGTGTCCTGCTAGAAGACCAACACCCAGTAACATAAAATGTAATGTATTGAAGTAAATAAGGGATAATTATGCTACCAGCGATTATATTTCAGTACTACGAGTTTTAGGCTGAGAAATCATTGTACTGGAGGAAATTCCAACTAAACAACAGGAGCAAAGCCACCACCTACCGCCAGCCTCCAGAATCTCTACCAACCATCCAGTACTTCTACCAACCATCCAGCCAGTCTTCAGCGCCTCCACCAACCATCCACTTCTACCTCCTCCCACCTCACACATCATACAGTCACTGTAACCACAAACAATCCAGGGCTCAAGAAGCACATCAGTTTTGTATACACTCCAAATGATTGTTGTAGTTGGCTAATGTGAATATAACCAAAAGAGTATGATATACTGTAGAATACACACCTTAGAAATATACATGATTTAACAGAGAAAAACTATATATCTATTAAATATCCTATACACATCAATCACATGAATATTCGGACAAAAATGAGTCCTTGTTATATTGCTGAATTCTCTCAGGTGTTATATAGAAAGTATACTTTATATAGTATACTATAGTATACTTATTAGTATACAGGTATACTAATTCCAGTATACCTGCTGGAATTGGTCATTAAGTTGTTGTTGTTGTTGTTGTTGTTGTTGTTGTGACCTTAATCACCCTCAAGAGGTTGATAGGCCTCAAGTCCAAAACCAAACCAAACCTGCTAATGTGCTACAGGATCTTAGATATGCGTCTTGACACCTGTATACTATATATTCTAAAGACGGTGTTCCTCCCTCGCGTGTATGGAATTTTGGTCCGCGGCCAAAACACTAGAACTCGACAGCTAGTCAGCGATGTTTAACATTATAATGATGCACACACACACACACACACACACACACACACACACACACACACACACACACACACACACACACACACACACACACACACACACACACACACACACACATACACATACACATACACATACACACACACACACACACACACACACACACACACACACACACACACACACACACACACACACACACACGTGGTGCGGCGAATAATTTAACGTGCCGGAAATAAGTAATCCATTAACCGACCCGTGAAATGATAAGCTAAGTTATGATGTCGTAACTTTGGTCCATCTTGGAACCGCATCACGACTTGATAAAGGTCCGTGATGGACTGAAACGTCGTCATTTTTTATTTATTTGTACGCTAGAGGGGGGAGGGTATCCCGTAAAACCTACATGCCGCTGCAGTCCGTCCAGTAGAGGATTGAACTGAGCCGTCGGTGTAGACACAGTGCTCGTGAGATCTTAAATTCTCGATGGAGGAGGCAATTGTTTCAAGTGTGACAACTTTGAGTAGAGCAAGATTCTCATTATCTTTCTTGGTGACAGGTGTGTATGATACTTGAATGGTGGGGTACAGATAAAGAGGAATATCAGAGACAGGTAGATTGCACTTAAAAGGAATGTTAAGTTTTATGAGATTGTAAGCATTGTTACTCAGCCATTTATCATAAAAGGAGTGAGTTGGTATGTCGGCACCAGTCAATAGGGTGTTAACAGCACTAAATAATTTGTCTCTGAGCAATGCAGGAGATGTAGGGTCTCTCATGACTTTAAGGCAAAGGGTAGCGTTGACTTGCATGATTCTCTTTAGTATGGTTGGAAGCTTCAGTTCTTCCCGCATGTTGATGATTCTTGTGCATCTTGGAGCACCAAGAATTATCCTCATGGCTTCATTCTGTACTACTTCAAGTTTGTCCAACACAGAGGAGGGGAAATTATTTAAGTGCAAAGCATTATAATAAACGAGAGATCTAACAAACATCATATAGAATAGTCTAGCATATTTAATATTGATACCAATATTCTTACCAGTAAGTGTTCTCAATGGTTTTAGTCTTTCTTTTAACCTACGGTGTAGATCATTTACAATGTCACTGTTAATACCAACTCCAAGGTATTTATGCTGCCTACACGTTTCAATGTTCTGGTTATTAACCTTGAAAGCTATGGGGACATGAGTTTTCTCTTGGGGATGGAGAACTCTGGATTTAGTTATAGAGATAACAAGACCACATTCAATGCTTTTAGCAGCGAGTGAATCAAGTAGAGCTTGCAGTCTAGTTTGGGAATTTGCAACAATGCATATGTCATCGGCATAACAAATGACGGCTTCGTCAGGTAGTGTAGGAATATCAATTGTTAATTTGTGCATCAGAACATTGAACAGTGTAGGACTTAGCACTCCACCCTGGGGTGTACCCAACTCAAAGGGTGCACAAAGTTTACTTTTGACCCCCTTGAAAAGGACTGAGGCGGTTCTGTTACTCAGGCAACCCCTGAGCCATGTCAACAGTCTTCCCTTAACTCCAAA